TCTCCCTCCCTCTCTCTCTCTTGCTCTCTCGTCTCTCGGACTGTCTCTCCGCCTCTCCTTTCATCACTACTTCGGCCCTCTCGCGGTCTCCGGCACTCGGCCGCGGGCCGCCCCAACACACGGCACGCCAACATGTGTGACGCAGCTCCCCTCCGCCCCGCCCCGCCCAGCACCACGTACATGTACGCCCCCAAACAACAGTCGGACGCCGCTATTTTTCCACAATGCAAATTAATTTATCGCGACAGCGTGCGCGGCGTGTTGCGATAAGCATCGCGACACTCGGTGGCGCCCCGCCCATCGTGTGGGGCGGGGTGGTGTTCTCCAGAGCCCACCCCGCCCCACCTAGAGCTCGCCCAGCCCCACCCAGAGGTCGCACCCCTTCTGTCATCCCCCCACCTCACCACCTCACACCCCTTGCTCTCCGGCGCGACATGGCGGTACAGTACGCGCTTCGCCGCCAGGGAGATTTTGACATGGATATTTATGACGGTCCTTCATCACGACTTGTTCTCCAGCGCTCATTAAAGCTCCAGTGGCAGTGCAGCCACCGGCAGCCGAGCTGGCAGCCCGGGCGGACGCGGCGGTGCGGCCCGCTCGCAGGTGCTGGAGGCTGAGGGTTATCATGGTCCAGGTGACCCGCCCCATATGTCACCACGTCCTGGGCCCGGGCCCCGCCCGCGCCCGGAGGATGAGCCCGGGACGGCAAACACAAGGCGGGCCGGGCGTGGGCCGGGGGGCGGTTGGCGGCGGGTGGCGGCGGGCGTGGGGTGGGGCGTAAATCCGCACCCTTCATATGTAACGTGAACTCGGTCCGCCCTGCTGCCACACCTGGCCCGGTCCGGTGAGGGGGGTGGGATAGGGAGCTTACCGGAGACAAACAGAGCTCCCTCGCGCACGGCGCCGCCCCCGCCATGCCATCCCCGGCCCGCTGGGCTGGCTTCTGCTGCCGGGGCTCAGCAGAGGCGGGAAAGTCGATGGGATATGGAGAAATGTACCTCTTCTCTCCGGGCGGCGCGGGCTGCGCGGCGCGCCCTAGTTTGCCTGCCGCACGGCAGCCCCAGCCATCACTCTCCGCTC